AGGAGGAGGCTAAAAGGGATGGGGAGGGATAAAGAAACACACAGCACAAACGCCACTGAGGTCGGCTCCTAGCCATATCAGCAAGTGTATCCAGCCAAACGTGTTCATCGTCTTTTGGACCCCAACCAGGGAGCCGTGAAGCTTCAACCGAGGCTAGCTCCGAAGTGAGGGACTTCATTCCTCTTGACCAAGTCATAGCCTGGCCATCTCTTCCCTTCTTCCACCCACATCCCCGGTGAGCAAACAACGCACGTCGAGGGAGTCGGTGGGCTGGCATGCGTAACACGTGACCGAGCCATTGGAGCCTGGTGCGTGAAATAACGGTGCTGAGCGGTTCAGATCCTTTACCTGGGCCGTAAACAATGCGTCGAACACGCTCGTTACTCACGCGGTGTTCCCACCAGATGTGAGCCAAACTGCGAAGGCACCGATGGTCGAGCATAACTATCCTCTTCTGGTCCGCTGCTTTAAGCGACCAGGTTTCACAACTGTACAGTAGGGTCGAACGTACTGCTACATTGTACACTCAACCCTTCAGGGCAAGAGTGATATCGCGCCGGCGCCATAAGAGGCGAAGGTTAGCAAAGCGCCCCGAGCTTTTGCTATACGGTTTGTGATCTCATTTTCAATCCCACGGGCGCTGATACAACTTCCCAGGTAGTTGAATTTTTGAACGAATTCCTGCTGATTCCCACCAACGGTCAGCGCAGGAGGCGGTCAAGACCAATCTTGGAGAAACGCTTTGCACTTCGATGGTGCGAAGTAAAGCCGGAAGTGAAAGACAGCTAGTGCTAATCTGTCCAGTGCCGCTTGACACATTTGTGAGCTGTCACAGATTAGGGCAATATCATCAGCATACTCCAAGTCAAGAAGTCGTTTAGCTGGGAGCAGATCCACACCTTTTAAGTCGTGTCCTGTGAACGCGATTTCCATGACTTCGTCAACAGCGAAGTTGAAGAGGAAGAGTGACAGCGGGCATCCTTGTCTCACGCCGCTGGAGATATTAAAGGGCGACGACAGCTTGCCTTAAGCCCTCACTCTGCCCGAGCTACGAGCATTTAATGCTCGGATAATATTCACATATTTTTCGGGCACGCATTTCCTGAGTAGACAGTCCCAAAGTGCATGTCTGTCCACCGAATCGAATGCACCTTTGATATCGAGGGACACGACTACGGTGGACCGCCAATATGTGTGGCGGTGCTCCAACAACTGACGCAAGGCGAAGATGTGGTCAATGCAGCCATGACCTCGACGAAATCCAGCTTGCTGTTCATGAATCTGTCTTTCACGAGTGCCAGTCAGTCTGTGAAGGATGACAGAGGCAAGCAAGTTGGACGCCATGGCGATCAGACTGATTCCTCTATGGCTGCCGCATTCCGATCGTGAGCCTCCTTTGAAAATTGGGACTATGATGGAGCGGCTCCAATCGGTTGGGACAGTTTCCTGCTCCCACAGTTTGACTAGTAACTCGTGTAAATCATCCACAAGAGCAGATCCCCCGAATTTGAAGAATGTGCTGTAGCATGATCATTTGGCCCCGCGGCTTTATTTAACTTCAACAGTCCGATCTCACGATCGACTTCTGAGCAAGAGGGTGGATCCAAAGGGACAGCCCACAGGGCAGGGCGAACAGTGACCGGTGAATCGAAGAATTCTAGCCGGTTAAATTGCTTTTCAAAATGCTCAGCCCAACGCTCGAAACGTTTTGTCAAATTGTGGATAGGCTGTCCAATCTCATCACAAATTGTTTCACCAACACCAGGTCTCCTGCTTCCCGTTTCCCGTATCAGACTTAATAACTTGCGATGGTTACCAAGGGCAGCGGCCACATCCATCTCTGACGCACGATGAGACCACCAAGCTTCGCGGTCTCTCTTCAGGCTAGCGCGGAGTTTTGCTCGCAGATCCTTGCGAGTTTCATTGCGCTCGCTTCCAGCCGGGATATGCCGGCGAGCGTCGATAAGTTCCAGAGACCGAGAAGAGACCCAATGTACATGTTGGCTATTATACCAACCATTTGAGGATTTGCCCGCTGCTAGTAAGGTCTGGCGAACATGTGACCAGTGACCATCAATTGTCTCCAGTGAACGATTACTCAACTCGCATGTCAGCGTACTTCGACACGCATTCAGAACAGCTGGCTTTGTCAGTTGGCTGGTGTCAATGTGCTCACAGCGTCGTCGTGGGCGTTCGTCAAAGCGCATCCGCATGTCAGCACATACACGTGCATGATCGGTGACCACACATGTGCTCCAAATCGAGCGACAATTCTGGATGCAACCTCTCCAGCGGTAACTTATCGCAATGTGATCGATCTGCGTCCAAGGCTGGTTCGAGGCTGGTGGGCGCCAAGTCACCCTCCGGCGGGTGTTGTGTCGGAAATTAGTGCTCGCAAGAAATAAGCGAGCATCTTCACACAAATGAAGTAACCGCTCACCGTTATCATTACGGGAGCCTACACCGTGTTGACCGCCCAGATGCAGTTCATCAGTGGACAATTTTCCAGCTTGTGCGTTCATATCCCCCGCCAGCACAACAGTGTCTATGCTTCTTCTGTGGCGAAGGAGCTGAGTCAGTTGGCGGTAGAAGTCCTTCTTTTCCGAATCATCGCTACAGTTTGTGGGCGCGTATGCAGCGATGATGAAAAGACACCTATTAGTCCCGCGCGACTTCGAAGCTTTAAACGAGCCAGCCAATCGGACCGCACACATCCGGCTACTGATTGGAATCCAATCAACCAGAGCAGCTTCAGCCCGGGGACTCAGCGCAATGCCAACACCAGCTTGGCTGGTGCTCGAAGCTGCATCGTCACCGGATAGGCGCACTGAGAAAATACTGCTTGCGTCACCTGAAGGGGATCGCAGAGTGAGCACAGAGCTCGAGTCTTGCAGCGGGTCTCCGATAAGCAGCAGATATCGGTCGATAGGATCTCCAATATTCGGGCAAATGCCGCCTGTTGACCGATCTGTAGTAATGTGCGTACATTAAGGCATGCCAATCTGAAGGAGGACCAAGGGCTCCAAATGGAAGCCGATGAACTGGAATGGATCGCTTGATTGGACATGCGCTTGTCGACAGGAGAGGAGTGACGCTCCGCGTCCACATGTGAGTTGAAATTAGAAGATAAACGCCTAGCAAAGCATGTTGGGGGAGGGCCAAGAATCGGGGGGTTGAAAACTGAGGGGATATAAGTGAAGTTGGAAGGGGACGGTAAGAGTGAAAAAGCGTAAGAAGACGGGAAGGCTTGAGCAGTAGCATCCGAACCCCTATCCACCCTGCTCGATGCAACAGATAGGGCACCGTTGATTATCCTCTGCGGTGGCCAGAGCATCAGCAATTTGTTTGAGATAAGATTCATGGTATTGCGTTGGCAGGATACTGTCAGGTTGCCCAGGCCTAAACAGGAGAACGATTAGGGTTCTCAACCAAAGCCTTTGGTTCAAAAACCTGACCGCAAGGCAGCGGGTTTGGAGTTGGGCTACAAGGAGTCCGTGTGAAGGAATAAGGTGCCACCCTCATTCCAACCCCTAACCTGGAGGACCAGGAGGCTGAGTTTGTCTGGCCTCTAACCATTGACCAATCTGGTATGAGTGACTCTGAAGGTGCAAAATCACCACCCAGTATAGCTCTATGTATCGCTGAGGCACACAAACCATCGCACCACGGTAAGGTCCAGTCTCATTGCATGAACGCTTTTGACGGAAGCCCTATTGCTCTGGAGTTATTATGTTGTGGCTTTCCAGCTACTGCATCAGCGCATGTGCGATGATTGATTCCATCAATTTGGATAGTACAAGAAGTAGTGTATTTGAACAGTAGTTGGTAGAGTCAGTGCGGATACCTCCTTTATGGATAGCAGTGATAACTCCACGCTTCCATACTGGTGGTATATGGTTCTCTTCTAGACATCGCTGATAGAAAACAGCCAGTGGTTCTGCTAGATCACTAGCTACCGCCTACAGAGCCTTTGGTCGGATGTTGTCGACTCCAGGAGAACTGTGGATACGCAAGGATAACAACTTCTTCAACACAGCTTCCGCAGTGAAGGTGATGTTGTCTAAACCCGACGGTGGAGTAATAGAAACGAGGAGAATATTTGGGCTCATTACCTGCTTTAAAGTTTGGGAGTAATGAATCCGTAGAAGATCGGCTGCTTTCATTGCTGATCGCGTGCATCCATCAGCCGTGACTAGAGCTGGAATCCCCCTCTTCACCTTTCGAAGGCCGTTGACGGGCCTATACAGAAGTTTGTGCTTCGTGCGGAATCGCCTCATTAACTTCTGCTGATGCGTGACATTGTCTTCGCGGATCACTGTCACACAGAAATTATGATGTGTCACGTAGGTAGTTTGGGTTTCGGCTTTCGAGCAGTCGTTGTGCGTTCGCCATGCCAAATCCCTCCGGGACATACATTTACGTGTTTTGCTCCTCAGAAATGACTTATGCTTGTTTTGGGGTTGGAAGGACTTCTGTTCCGATGCGTGAGCTACAAGTGTGCTAAAGCTCCTTGTAAAGGTTTCCCAGGCAACAGCTGGGGGCCTTCGCTTGTATGGAGTATAAATCCAGCCCTTCAGATTAAGAGTAATATCACGACGGTGCCACAGATGGCGGAGTTTGACAAAAGCGCACTGAGCTTTTGCTATGCAGTTGTGATTTTATTTTCACTCCCTCAGACGCTGATATCGCTGTCCAGAGACTTGAATTTCTCGGAAGATTGGTCTGAATCCGATGCAAATAATAAAAAAATGATGGAAATGATCACTACTGGTGAAGACTAAGAGGTCATCAACATAACGCTTGTACAACCTTGAATACCAATGCTCGTTGTGAGTTTACCTTCGATCATCTCCGGAAAAATGTCGGCCAAAACAGGTCCCAAACGGGTGCCCATTAGAGCGTTTTTATCTGTCCGTACTCGATTCCTTCAAACTCAAGTTGGACATTTTCGAAGCGTAGTAGAATAAGTTCGCTCAGGAACCCTGACAGTATGCCCACATATGCCCACGTGGTTTCATCGATCCGCCCGCCTCTCAATCGGTCGTGCCATTCAAAACGACCTGGAGCAACTAGCCTTGAGGAGGTCACCAACTTCAGCGGTAGGTTATCCCATGTTAACCTGTCATGACAAATGCGTTTTCAACGTCTCTCGTGAAATATTCCGAAATACAATGTGACCCCTTAATCGATTTGCATTTGCTCACCTCGTTGACTATTGTAGTCTGATTAGGCATGCGTGAAGGAGTATGTTTATTCAACGTATTTTTCCAGCTCAGTATCAGCTCCATTGTTCTGCGGTCTGTCGCGCCACGGCTAGGTAGGAGTTGGAAATGGACCATGGGACTAGCTGGATATGTTATGCATGTTCGGCCCACCTGTGTGATGACAGACTCATGATGAGTTCTAATACTAATACTAATAACGTCTATTTTCATGGCGCCGCCAAACCCTACTACAATGGGATAGGATCTACATGTGCAACGTGCTCGCGCATGCAGGGCTGTCAATGGTTGGAGTTTACGCAGAGATGCCACTGGTACGTTTCGTGAAGATCTTCACTTGAGGCTTTTACTGTCGTATCTTCCCAGTTCACCGGGATTCTTAGTTGTTTGGTCCCAGTAATGATCGAAGGTACCATGTAGGCGTGGGTTCATGAATGGAGAACGAACATGAATGAGACCGTAGCAATTGAAGCCATCAACCAAAATCTGACGAGTAATGCACAATCGTGCATAACAGACTAGAGAAGTTGTGAGGAGCAGAAACTCTACCTGGCATGATTTTACTCAGATGGGGAAACGTAGAGAGAGCTAAGATTAATACCTACATGTTCGATATGAAGCTTCAAAGCTACAGCTGTGTTACGTAATATAAGGTGGTAAGCACCTAGCGGGGAGTTAAATTAAAGTGAAGTGCTTGGACATTTATAAATCTAGAAGTCCGATTGATCTGACCAAGAGAAGATGTATTGCATGCTATGGAATGGTTAAGCCCAAGTCAGCTCAGTGGTTTACATTTCAGACTTCCCTTTCAGGTAGAGATTTTGGCCTGCGTGGCCGTGCAACGATAAGGGTATTGAAGAACACGAGACCATAGGTGAACAATTGTTTTCGATGATTCACCTCAGACCATTACAATGATATTTAAGGGTAAAATAATGAACTGATATCGACTCATTGGCTCAAATTACATAGTTAATTAACGGATCAGTGAGGGAGGCTAAAAGTTGACTTTTGAACTGACAGGTCGATTGCATGTTATCGAGCTTGATCTGTGACAATCGACCTCAGTATCGTTCGTTCTAGTAGGCCAGGGAAGCTGTAAGTCATGGAGCAACTTCTTTTACCAGCATAATGAATGTTGAAACAACCGAATGCAAACCGATTCAGCTGTCGTGAGCGCACGGAGGCACAAACCTCTTGATTGATGCTGGGGGACCCTGTAAATTATCCCGAAGGCACGCTTTAGATCGACTTGGTACCCCGTGTCAACAATATGGGCCAAAACGGCGCTGCTGATAAATAACCATAGATGAGGTTTTATGATTATTTGTCAGTTCAAGTGCGTTTGTGACGCTACTTATATTGGTCGAACGGCACGGCATTTGTCCAAACGCGTGAAGGAGCACTGCCTGCGCTGGTTGCGTCAAGGAGGAACTGGGGCCATTAGCAGTGCAGTTTTGGCCCATATTGTCGACAAGGGGTACCAAGTCGATCTAAAGCGTGCCTTCAGGATAATTTACAGGGTCCCCCAGCATCAATCAAGAGGTTTGTGCCTCCGTGCGCTCACGACAGCTGAATCGGTTTGCATTCGGTTGTTTCAACATTCATTATGCTCGCAAAAGAAGTTGCCCCATGCCTTACAGCTTCCCTGGCCTACTAGAACGAACGATGCCGAGGTCGATTGCCACAGATCAAGCTCGATAACATGCAATCGACCTGTCAGTTCAAAGGTCAACTTTTAGCCTCCCACACTGATCCGTTAATTAACTATGTAATTTGAGCCAATGAGTCGATATCAGTTCATTATGTTACCCTTAAATATCATTGTAATGGTCTGAGGTGAATCATCGAAAACAATTGTTCACCTATGGTCTCGTGTTCTTTGACTTTAAATGGGTAAGGGTATTGTTGACAAGTGCGAGATAACTGGATAAGCGTTTATTCTAAATCATACGAGCCGCACACATCAAAGTATGATCAGCGAATTACATTCGTGTACAAAATAACGAACACAAGGGGAGTAGGAAAGTGTATAGCTAATCGATTTTTGGCATATAGTGTCGCAATTAAAATCAGGAATACGGTCTAAGGATTGAATTAGTGCATGTTATCAGAAAGACAATAGGAAGGTAGAAATGAAGTAACCTGAAACAACCACAACAGCAACAACAACAGCAACAACCACAACAGACTCATGACACAGAGGCAACGACCAGGTGAAGTAATACTGTTATTCGTGGAACTGTCTTCTAGAGACCGACTTCTCAGCGGGGTAATCCTTCAAAAAGCATCACACACAAGTCCACACGCCATCTGGTCGTGTGTTGGCGTGACTTAAAAGCAGGCTAGCCATCACCCGTTTTACCGATTATTTGGGCTCCTTTTTCGTAAAATAACCACTCAAATCAGGCAGCATGTTCGTCATTCATTACTTTTTCACTAGAGTTGGCTGCATACGCCACCAAGTGTGAATTCATCGATTCGGTGTATTGTTTCTTTTTAATTTCTGCACCCCTGTTTATATTCACCAGGGAGTCATTGGCTGTCCGACTTGCGTGTGTAAACATTCTGTCTGGAAGCTTCAATAAACAGGCATCAGCAGTACGCCGGTAAGCAGCACCGAGGCTTCGCTGACGCGCAACCACCGTCAGTCGCACGTGAGCGTCGCCCCGCACATACACAGGCTTGAACCAACGCCGGTGACCGAGTGGTATTGTGCGTCTGGTTTGCAACCATAAGGTCACCGGTTGGAATCCGCGTAGGGGCGGACGTCCTCGCAGCATACTCAGCCCACACGCGACTGGTGTTGGTCGCGTGGCAGCGAAACGCCGTTACGACGTGCAGCTGGCGATTTAGTCTATTTTTTTTGGCTCACCAGGTTACAAGACAAGCTCGTGACCTTTAGGCTTCAAACCATCACATCAAGAGGTCGGCCCAACCGTGCCCAACAAAGAAAAAACGAGAATAAAATGAAATAAAATAGGAGGACAGAGAATCACAAGATACAGATTGTGAGATAACGTCCTCATTTCGTGCAACTACCGAATATGAACAATGAACAATGATGTATAACGGGTAAAAAAGCAGGTGCTTGTCATGTCCCGTAGGGTGTTTAAAGTGAGAAAGGATAGATCAAGGGAAAATGTAATCGTCGGTTAGGGTGATTAACGGATTTAACTGCACTGCCATATAAAGGGAGTTTGAAATTAGAAAGTGCGCACACAAAGCAACAGGGGAGTGGTTATTGTTCACATCATAGGCGAGAAAAGTAAAAAGGATAGCAAGGACAACGCTTACTCGTGTGCAAATATCTTGGGTCCACAGGATACAGAAATCCAGCTTCTATAGTAGTAGCGTTTATCAAAATTTCGTGCAAGGGGTTTGGAGTGACTCATTCTCGACTAGGGTTATGGCACTATCCACTGTTTTTTGTGCATTAGTGCCAGCATCAGGTGGTCATGAGCTATAGCACGTAGTGTAAATGTGACAGAGTATCGTCAAGGCGATTTTGAAAAGGGATAGGGTGTGAGCATTAATTACATGTTCCGGGAGGGCGTTCCAAGGTTGTGACGCTCGAAGGGAGAAAAAGTTTCGCCGACATTCCAGTCGGCTGTACTGCGTGACCAGCTTAAACTGTCGACCTCTTAGCGAGGTGTTTTGACTGAGTATTAGAAGGGAATGGCATGGGTGGTTGGGGTTTCTCATAATCTGGTACACCATTATGAGATCGCTCCTTAGACGCCGATAACATCCACTGTATATTTTGAGAGTCTTCAGTCTGTGTGGGTAGGGGAGGATGGTCAAACCTCTGACGTTCTTCGTTGCCCTACGTTGTGCAGTATCGAGCGCGGTGCGATGGTGCTTGGGCCAGGGTTGCCACGCTTGAATGGCGTATTCCATGTGCAGCCTCACGTTCGCACTAAGCATTTTTGGAAAGACTGAAGGGTCGAACTTCCGGAAAGCTCTGCGAAGAAGGCCGAAGTACTGGTTTGCTTTCTTAGCTGCCTTTTCAGTCTGCCTCAAACAACCGAGGTCATCTTGAACTATCACGCCGAGATCGCACTCGTGACAAGCCCGCTGTAGAATTTGTGGTCCTAGGCGGTACTTGTGCATACTCTTGTGCTGAGAACTTTGCACTTGGTGACGTTGAAATCCAGCATGTTCTCCATGGACCATGTGTACGCTTTGTCCAGGTCCTCCTGTAACGCTGTGTGGTCCTCCACTGGCATACCTTTAGGTCATCAGCAAATAGCAAACAGTTAGAAGATAGCACACTCGCGAGATCATTTATGAAAACCAGGAACAGACGGGGTCCAAATACCGAGCCTTGAGGTACACCGCACTGAACTTCGATGAATTCGATAGGTTGCTTTCAAACCCTCACCTTCAGGTGACGTTGCAGCAGAAAGTCTCCTATCCAGAATATGTACAGCACGGAAGGGATAATAATGTCATGCGAGATTGACTGATTGCCAAGTGGTGGCCGACTGATTTGATTCACGCTACCACGATGAGCCTTTAGTTTCAAGGCAGGTTGTTTTGTAGATATAGCGACATCGGTTTGAGATCGGTATCAAGGTCTCAGAATAGAGCTTATGGTCACGCATGAGTGGGACTTTTCATGATGCTTCTTTGGGGATGACTTGGGGACCGGTGTTCATCAAATGCTTCTTAATTGCGGGGACAGTCTAACTTCTCAGTTCAGCTTTATCAACCGTCACAGATTCCAATCGTGGGGTGCGTTCGTCCATTCGACAACACCCAGGCTTCGGCCAGTGCACTCAGCGTAGCTGCATGCACAGCTACAGATGATTCGCTAGGTTTTTCTGAAGTACTGAACAAGGGTTGAGATGAGTAGGTTACTTCCTGGCCAGCGC